AGGATATTATTAAGAATTGTTTATTGTAATACTCACATCACTATGATAAAAAAGAGTTAACATGGATACAATTTAATTCACATTAAGAATAATATTTTCGTAAATCGTTGAAGACAAATTTGTATATCCCCTTGATGTGTAAATGTATCAAATTTTAAAAAGCATTATAACAAATTCATAGTTGTAATAATTTGTAACCAAAACATTTTTAAAATTTTGATTTGTATTGAAATAAAGAAAGTCCAAATTCAATATTCATTCTAGAGTGTTTAAGGAGCAATAATTTATTCCAAATGAAAGCGTCTTTTCTAATAAAAGCAACTTTTTACTATTCTAGATAATTTCAGTATATACTCTGGCATTTAATATTTAAAACATAAAACGATTAAAATAAATTGTAATGATTTAAATGAAACTATTTTCATTAAATATTTTTGTATAAAAAAAACCGCTCACCTGTTTTAAATATGTCCACAAAATAAAACACTTTAAATTTTTCTAGCGCCTCAGTGCTAAATGATCCTAAGTATAATTTTGGTGTGATGTGAGAAGACGTGATTTGTTTCTTCAATTAGGGATGCTTCTGGAATGAAGACAGTTTCACTTGGATGCGCTACTTATTACATTGTATTTTAATCAATAGAGAGTGAGAGCCATTGTGTTTGACATGATGAACAGAGCACTCTCCCTGGCTTAAATTACTGAGACAATATTTGCCGTCGGTCAGTAAATAGACGACCATCGTCTCATTGTATACCCATTCCGCGGTCCATCAATTGACGAATAAGCGTTAGTAAGGCATATTTGTGAGACCGACCTGTTTCATGTTAAGGACATGTTTCTGATGGCGGATGGGATGGAGAGAGTGAAGGTTAACTGAGTATTCAAGAGATGTGTTTTGTGGCGTATAGTGGAAAACTGTACTGAATTATTGGGCACACAATCTCTTTTAAAGGCACGTTAAGACTTTGGTTACCATGACAAATGTAATGAGATTTATTTATTAGACATTGTAACTATGGCAATTTATATGTGAAAATAATGTCGCTGTATTCTTAAATGGAATATTTTAAAAATATCGGCATGGCTTTTGACGGTCTCATAATTGTGACTTTGGTTTTATAAGACGGTTTATTTCTTCTTTAATCACGTTTAATTTTATAAAATCTGGAAAAATTAATTTATGATCGTTTTTATTGTTTTACACCACTCAAATGACTTACGATATGAAGTATATTGTTTAATTGCACATAGACATAATGTTTGTGATACTTAGCCAAAACACAACGGAGACAATACTTTGATACCATTGCGATTCCATAGTCAAATAAAAGTTTGGTAATACATTCGTACAAAATATATTTAATAATAACAAAGTAAAACAAATCTCTATGTCTATTAGTTGAATCATGTATTGAGAGAAAGTTTTGTTTGGAAATATAGATATTTTTTAATATGATGACATGAATACTTGAAAGATGGTACAAATGATGAGAGTGTGTTCTTCGCGCCTAACTTGGTTTATTTTGTTGTGTTTCGACGAGCTGACTTTCTTATGTATATATATTATATACATTTATAATGTCTAAATTACGGACATTATGTTTACATTTCAAATTTTAATTGGACGCAGGGCTTATATTGACCCCTTTACATGTTTTGTTGCACATTTACCTTCTTTGTTAAACGAATGACCACCAATGGTTTGGCACGACTTACCAGCTCTGACCTTCAAAGTTGAATTTCTGCTATTGCAAAATTGACTTCTTCCTTCAATCCCGTATTATAGTTAACATGAATCTGCAAAAAAAATCTAAATGCTGGCTAAAACTTCTTCTAAGGAAATTTACCATTGTAATTTATCTGTTGTAAAATGTCGGCCTGTTGCTTCATTACCATTAAGCTTATCCAGGGATGCTACGTTATTCCCCTGACGGGATGATCTATTAGATTCTAGTTGTGACAATGATCCAATTTGACTCCGACCAATCTGATTGGATACCAAACACTTGATGGAGTAATTGATGGAAAAAAATAAACAAGAATTTGTATAGAGATTTTATTCAAAAATTAAATCTAATTTCGGCTTCAGCAATAAAACAGTGAAAGAAAGATACTGGAAATGGGGTTGTTTTTTAAGCAGTGCAAGGAGGAAATCATATGTTATTGTGAAGAAAGAGGGCTTAAAGATATCTGGCTTTCGAAACAGACGACTCAATTATAAAAAAGTGTATTTTTACAGACCGACTATAAGATAGGACGAAGTAATTTCATGGTTAAAGCTACATGGCTTCCAGATGAGCCAAAATATTTCAGAGAAAGACCAAACTTGACAGGATGTAGATTTTATGAAAAGTAAAAAGAGTCCAAGATACAAGTAATCAGATTTACGTTGTTATGTAAGATAAATGATTGACTTTGCAGTAATTATCACCATTCTACTGCGTGGCTAACATAGAAAGGACTTTTTTCTTCATATTTTGGCATCCTATTTGGTAATCCCGTTGATTGTTAGTGACGCTTGCAACTTGCAAGTTACTTTCTTTGTTTACTTCAGAATAGTTAATTCTTTAATACATTTTCATTTTTTATGAAAATTAGCAAGAATCTTAGGCAGATTTAAGCATAATTTTAGGATTACTTAACTCTAAAAAGGGTATAAAGGTATATCTCATGAAAAACATGTATATCTTTATAGAATTAATAAAGTGTTAAGTTATGCTGTTTTCAAAATCATTGAAAGCTTATATAAATTATCTGTAATACAAACAACTAAACTGACAATATAATGCAAATAACCTCATCAATTTAATAATGTTTACAACAAAGCATTTGAGTTCCTGAAGCACAAATATATTGGCGATTTCAATAGTTAAAGGCCCATCAAGCCTAAATAATGCAAACATTTTTTTGAAACCTGTTATTTTTGCTGTACTGTTACAGTTTACAAAATGTTACTAATTGGCCATATATCTAAGTCTTATATTGTTTCCTTTGAGATTTTGGTAATTAGTACATTTAAAGTGAATAAATATTTTTGTACGGAAGTCACAATACCACTTTGTTTTCTTTATAGGACATGTACCTTTATAACACATTATTTCACATTGAGTACTATTTTCTTCAGGTGATAAGCAACTGACATGTTGTAAATTCATTATTGAAACATAATGAAACACATGTTAAAAAATCCTCGTTTCTGAGACATAATGTGCCTTTAAGAAAACATGTAATAACGCTACGCTTTCTATTTTTAGAAGTAATGTTTACGTCATTGTAATTTCTTTTCTGTTGACAGCCATATTCCATGTATTCCATATAACGCATTGTTCGCGTGACATGACATCATATAATTTGAATTGTGTTGATGACGTGGTAATAAACGTAAATTCTGCAGGCTAGTTGCCCCAAAGAAAAAATATAAATACCGCAATTAAATGGTTAAGTGTTCACAGAATTAATTGCCCAGCCTTTGATATTTGGTTAATTAAAGAAGTTTGATTTTTACACAGATATACTACCTGCGAAAATAATTCTTTTAATCGCACTTCAACAACCTTTGAGCGAAAGATAATAAAATTAATTAGTTCAATAAAATGCTTTTGCATCTGTATCATATAATTATTTTCATTTAATATCAAATGTAACGTTTGAGAACGTTATTGCAATTATATTGTGTTATAATTCTAAAATATGCAGTTGCTTATCACAGCATCAAAGAATGATAATTACTTTACGGTAAATACTTATTCATCAGCGTTCTAAAAATAATCACGTGTTGCTATTCAAATCATTGCTTTGTGGTAAAGCTATCCGCTCAGCTTGCGAAATCTTCGTGGTTCTATACAGGTCGCCACTCGTAATTGACATAGTGATTAAAGGGGAATGCTTAATTAATTAAAGCTGTAGATATTTATAATCAGGCATGTACAATTGTAGACTCAGTAGTCAAGCGTAGTCAAGCGTAGTCAAGCGTAGTCAAGCGCAAAAATTGCTAAATTAAATTGTACTTATTCTTCAGCACTAACAGTATTGAAATGCCTTAATATGACTGACCATGAGTTTTAAAACAGTGACTTAGAATTTCCCAAATATCCCTTCTCTCCATCCGTACAAAATGAATGTATTTTTGACAACAATCTTTTACTGACATTCATTTATTTCGCTATATGCAATCAATGAGATGAAAAAAATACAGAATACATAGCCTAATATTAAAATTTTTTGGATATCAATCTACTGGAGAAATAGATGGTTATTTTGAACCCATGGTCACATATATATACCTTTATATGATCAAAGCTTACATGTACGTATTAATTATTGACCATAATAGTCAAACCATGAGATCCGTACAGACCACTATCAACTTGCGGTTCCGTGCCGTCTGATCAATGTCTGCACTGTTCGCTATATAGTTAGTACAAATTATTTAAATTGTACCAAAATGATGAATGATTGGTCAATATTGAATGAGGGACAAGTCCATTTAAGAAAGGAATATGAATTTAGTGGGCGTTATCGTGTAGTTCCCATTTGTATTCTAAGGATTTTATGCAAAGCCGTCCAGATAAAAAAAAAACCAAACAACCATTTAAGATACGTACAAAAATTTATTCATAAATATATCTTTTTAAATGCATGGTAGTTACAAGTATGAATTATTAACACAACACAGCAAGAAATAAATATAAACAATACAGGTATATATAACAGAAAAGCAAAATACAAAATGTATAAACAGGAGACATGTAATACAAAATGAAATAATATCAACTGTCTGTATCCAGAACAATAACACGAGAACAACTCTAGAGTTGTAAAGTTTCAAAGCACTCGGCGAATACGTCTCACGATGATATAGTTCCACTATACAAGACCACAACAGATGTGGACAATGTCTCTGGTTTTATATGGTCCAAACTGCAGTTCTCTCCTCATACATGTCTGTTTGATGACCACTAGTATCCTGTTGAATAAATATATATTTGTCAATTTATGTCACTCGGAAGGAGGTAAAGAATAAAAAAGACAATGATTTTTTCTCTAAGATTTAATAAATTAATAAATAAATAATTTAATATAAAACAAGTATAGTCACTGTTCTACAAAACATTTCATTTCTAACTAGTGGCTCTTTGATCGTGTGCGACCGAGCGGCATTTTCCCGCCATTTCCATGAAGCCCAAATGCATCGCTTGGAGGAAATAGATTATCACTGTTTTCAGAGATAGGAGGAATCTCAACACGTGTCACGTGTTCAATTTCTGTATAAATATTTTCAGACGATGTCGAGCCTCTAGCAGATTTTGTTAACTTATTTAAATGCTTTCCAAATTTTACAGAATCCCAGACAATATCGTAATCACCTTCAGTACTTGTTGACCCTCTGTTTGACGACCCGCACGCGCTAGCCTCGTGACTGAGGTCATCATACTGTTCCAAAGGACCACGCTTATCAAATTTGCTCATACAGACGCTTGCATACTCATTTCCATTAGAAGCTTGGAATCTTGCAGTTTGATCCTGATTTTTGGAGGAATTTGGCTTTCGGAGGTCATCTGCAGGTGGTGGTCGTGAACACGTTGGCTGATTTCTGACGTCACTGTTGACGTAAGAATGTGGTCTGGATGGTCTAGTTCTAGAAGAATCTTCTTCTAAATCTAAATAACTAGTTCTTAGTTCACCAGTTGAGCCCGTTGCCGAACTTCTCTTACAATATCCTCTGAAAAAGTAACAGCAAAAATGAAACATATATGACATATCAAAAATGTAGAAGACATTAGTGACTGATTTATCTAATTAATGTAATTGTATGACAATGGGTTTTATTATAGCTATCCAGTTAATTTAATATATATTTTTTTAATTTGACAGCAATTCATTCTTATGAAGGGAAGGATGCGATCTAGTCAATCGTTATCCATACAGTTTCCATTTTAAATACGTCAAACATTATATTTTAAGTTTGTACACTTAATGAGATATTTCTAATTGTTTTAAATGTGTACTGACCTCTTCCTCATCATATAAAAGACGACAATACCAGTCACGACAGCTAGTATCCAGGCAACCGTTCCACATATCAGAAATATAACCATGTTACTATCTGTAAAATATAATTAAACATTGACAATATTATTGTATTTGAACACCTTTATCACGTGTCTCCATTTGAACAAATATGTTTCAATTCTTGTTGTATTAGTGTAATGAACTATGGTCTTGAGCTACTCTGATTAAGGGACTGGTCATTTGCAATTTGAAGGATTGAAATACAATATGATGAAGCTGAATAGACAACAGCACAGATCTACAGACTGGTCTGGCATATATTATACAAGATAGCTGTTAGCAAAGCTTCAAAGACAATTGCCATTTATTGAACGTCGTATTGTAATTAACATAAAGTCTTACATTGACCTAAAACATTTGAATTTGCTTCCCATTTTAATTTTATTTGAAAACACAATTGGTAGCAATTGCGAAAAACAACCCACAATCATTAGCGTGAAAAAGATAACTCTACTCACTGATTTTTGGAAATGAAAACAGAGCGAAAAGTTTATGTAAGACATTTTAGTTACTTTCTTGCGGGATATTATATGCCCCTTTTAAGAAAAAGAAATCAAACTGTGTAAGGATATAATGACATTGAACTGAAACATTTTAAACCGAGTAATTACATGTATACTTTCTTTTACAAAATAGAAAAGAAAAATAATTTCACTTACGTTTTGCCTGTGCAACTTGTAAAGCTAAAAGACAAAAATATACAAAATATTTATTTTAAACAATGATTTTTATACCGTTGCATAAAATTTTTTAAATAGAAATACATAGACTTGTTTAAAGTTAAAATTGTGATGTTCTGTACAAAAACATGGTGAGAATGAATCTTAAACAAATCTCAGTGTCACAACAACGAACAGAAAAAAAATCGAATTTAACAATAAGAGTATCTTTATTTTGATTTTGAAAGAATAAATTAACTTACGAATTTGGCATATGTATTCTTTGGGCATGCTGCATGTCTCGGTTTTGAAATGAAGTTCTCCTGTCCGGTCTTCTGTCATTGAAGTGCACCATGACGGCTTCTCCACGATGTCGTCTGCAAATATTTAAAATAACAAAAATTGTGTTTTAAATTTGTCTTACTTAAATAATATTATCAAGTTACAAAATCTAACTGAAATATACTTAGTTTATAAAATTTTCATGATGATAAAAAGTTTCATAGTAATTTCGTGTCTTACGAGTCATCCAAAAGGATGTCAAGGTCATTTATAGAATGACACATCTTTTACGACTAACTTAATTGTTAATGATTTGTTCCTACCAAACGCTTAACTTTTAGCAGAACTTCAAAGAAGCAGAATCTCAACTTTGAATAAGCAGAACTAGAACATAAGAAATAGCAGAACTACAACTTCAAAGAAGCATAACTGCAACTTTAAATTAAGTTAAGGTAAACTCGAATTTACCGGATAATTATATATCTCTGGAAAAAATAAGGGTCCTATGAACTAAAGGTCAAGTTTATTACATTAGCTGGTTATTTGTCCCGTAGCATATCAAATATAGTACAGTTATTACATTATGAATATGGTTAAAATTATGTTCATTTGCACCAACAAACTTTTAAATCAACCATTTCACCTATTATGTAACTATCACAACATAACCTGATTCATACCTGTTTGCCACGCCCACGAAGTGTTTCTGTACAGCCCGACCCAGAATTCACTGTGGTCCGGGAGAGCTGATACCGCCTCCATATTGTTCGCATGAAGATCCGCCAATGTACCACCTTCCTCCAGACACATGTCACGTGCCTCCATCCACGAACCGACCTTCTTTCTTGGACTTCTATATTCAATAATGGCACCATTATCCCGATCTTTAAGAAGCAAAATTATCAAACGTTAGATACATTATCGTACAGAACCATCGCGATTATCCGATGACACATCCGATATTCTAATACGATTCTATGAAATCGATGCGCCAGGGTTTTTCTCTTCATTTTATAATTAATCATAATTTAAGCTTCTCTAAATCTTATTATAAGGAGTGTTCTATAATTGGATCTATAATGTGGAATGAAGTACTTAGTGAGTCAATCCTAGTTATGTACTTGATATATCTCAGAACATAAAAGTACGATCGAAGAACTGCTGAATAATAAAAAAACAAATCTTTGCAATAAAGGATGTTGACACATAGGTTTTCGGGCCGGGTAGAGTAACAATAGCAGTCTTAACATCTGCTGTGTACTAAGTACATGTTATTTCAAAACATTGTAAAAAGCTGATTTACTCTTATCGTTATGTACAAACGTTTGAATATGATTTAAAACAAATAGAAAAAATTGCTATCATTGAATTCAAGAACGCTCATAACAAATTGTATACATGTATATAAAGAACATTTTATTGCCTACTTACATATTTTACAAAGAAAAGGCAGTTTCTTTCTACAGTCAGCAGTTATCCAAATAGGTGTGTCATGCTTGAGAATGTAGACACAGTTTTTCCAGTCTGACCGACTCATCTCTGAAAGATATATATAAATACTCATATATTAGTTATTTTGTTTAAGTATTTAGATACTGGTTAATACAAAGTCGTATGGCAAAACAAGAAAATATTATCATATCTAAGATATTTTGCTTTCAAAAATCATATGTCCTTCACTTCTGTTGGTTCGATTCCCGCCTAGGACTTTGGAGTCCTTCATGTATTAGCGCTGGACGGTGGTTCTACTCGGATTTAGCTCAATACAGGATTGGAGCAGTACCTCTAGACGCTTGCAGAAATCATGATCACAAATATACAAATATCGTTTTTTTCGCCGAATTTTACATTTTTCCTTGATTATCGTACTTGATTCGGTGTGAAAAGATGAATTAGACCTGTTAAAGTTCATTCCGTTGGATAAAAAGACAAGATTTAAGCATTTTATCATTCAAGCGCCTTGTCCGGTATATACCGGAATACGGTATTTAGTGTGGTGCTCCAATCCTTTTTTTAGTCACAGCCGTTCTACTCAGGTACCCGTTTGGGTCTGAAATCATACATGAAGGGGCACCAGAGGTCATATGACCTTTATAGTGGCGGTGTGACTTAAACCCTTGTTAAATAATCAAATAAGATAGTTATCAAGGACAAACATAAGTTATGTACTAACACCATGAAAAATTGGTATGTGAGAAGTTAGCAGTGAACAGTGAGCTAAGCAAAAAGGCATTTCAATTTATATAGGGAAGGTAATGATCTGCTGTAATGCTCAGCTGTTTTGGGCATCTAGCAGGGCATTCCTAAATATAGTGTAAAAATGCTCTGCTGGAACGCTCAGTTGGCTAGGCAATCTAGCAGTGCATTACTAAATATAGTGTTAAAATGCTCTGCTGGAATGCTAAGCTGGCTAGGCAATCTAGCAGAGCATTACTAAATATAGTGAACAAATGCTTTTCTGGAATGCTAAGCTGGCTAGGCAATCTAGCAGGGCATTACTAAATATAGTGTAATAATGCTCTGCTTGAATGCTAAGCTGGCTAGGCAATCTAGCAGAGCATTACTAAATATAGTGAACAAATGCTTTTCTGGAATGCTAAGCTGGCTAGGCAATCTAGCAGGGCATTACTAAATATAGTGTAAAAATGCTCTGCTTGAATGCTTAGCTGGCTAGGCAATCTAGCAGGGCATTACTAAATATAGTGTAAAAATGCTCTGCTGAAATGCTAAGCTGGCTAGGCAATCTAGCAGAGCATTACTAAATAAAGTGAACAAATGCTTTTCTGGAATGCTAAGCTGGCTAGGCAATCTAGCAGGACATTACTAAATATAGTTCAAAAATGCTATTCTGGAATGCTAAGCTGGCTAGGCAATCTAGCAGGACATTACTAAATATAGTGTACAAATGCTATTCTGGAATGCTAAGCTGGCTAGGCAATCTAGCAGGGCATTACTAAATATAGTATAAAAATGCTCTGCTGGAATGCTAAGCTGGCTAGGCAATCTAGCAGGGCATTACTAAATATAGTGCAAAAATGCTCTGCTGGAATGCTAAGCTGGCTAGGCAATCTAGCAGAGCATTACTAAATATAGTGTTAAAATGCTCTGCTTGAATGCTAAGCTGGCTAGGCAATCTAGCAGGGCATTACTAAATATAGTGTACAAATGCTCTGCTGGAATGCTAAGCTGGCTAGGCAATCTAGCAGAGCATTACTAAATATAGTGAACAAATGCTTTTCTGGAATGCTAAGCTGGCTAGGCAATCTAGCAGGGCATTACTAAATATAGTGTAAAAATGCTCTGCTTGAATGCTAAGCTGGCTAGGCAATCTAGCAGAGCATTACTAAATATAGTGTAAAAATGCTCTCCTGGAATGCTAAGCTGGCTAGGCAATCTAGCAGGGCATTCCTAAATATAATGTAAAAATGCTCTGGTGGAATGCTAAGCTGCTAGGCAATCTAGCAGAGCATTACGAAATATAGTGTAAAAATGCTCTGCTGGAATGCTAAGCTGGCTAGGCAATCTAGCAGGGCATTACTAAATAAAGTGTTAAAATGCTCTGCAGGAATGCTCAGCTGGCTAGGCCACTACAGCAGAGCATTCCTTAAATATAGTGAAAAAATGCTCTTGTGGAATGCTCAGCTGGCTAGGCAATCTAGCAGAGCATTACTAGATATAGTGTAAAAATGTTCTGGTGGAATGCTCAGCTGGCTAGGCACTATAGCAGAGCATTCCTTAATATAGTGAAAAAATGCTCTGGTGTAATGCTCAGCTGGCTAGGCAATCTAGCAGGGCATTACTAAATATGGTGTAAAAATGCTTTGGTGGAATGCTAAGCTGGCTAGGCAATCTATCAGGGCATTCCGAAATATAGTTAAAAAATGCTCTGGTGGAATGCTTAGTTGGCAGACTGATTCTGAGTTCCAGGATTTATTGTTGCCAAAGTTTTATTGACATTTTCGACTTATAGGCAATTCTGAGGCGCTCGCAGACTTTCAACATTTTCGGTGCCAATAGAAATAATGATATTTTTGACTTCTAAGGACCTTTAAGAGACTATTTCATTGTCCTGCGACTTTTTGAAAGACACTCGCAGACTTTCAGGAATTTTGGTGCCAATGCTGATATTGACAATTAAGACTTCTAGGGACCCTCAAGAGTCCATTTTGGTCGTCTGCGACTGATTCTTGGACACTCGCAGACTTTCAGGAATGGTTGGTGCCAATGGAAATAATCATATTTTTGACTTCAAGGGACCTTTAAGAGTCCATTTCATTGGCCTGCAGCGTATTGTTGGACACTCGTAGACTTTCAGGAAAGTTTGGTGCCAATAGAGATGATGGCAATTTTTACTTCTAGGGACCCGCCAGAGTCCATTTTTATGGTCTGTGACTGATTCTGGGACATTCGCAGACTTTCAGGAATCTCTGGTGCCAATGGAGATAATGACATTTTTGACTTCGAGCGACCCACCAGTTCATTTCGCTGGTCTGCGACTGATTTTGGGACACTTGCAGACTGTCAGGAATTTTGATGCCAATGGAGATAATGACATTTCTGACTTTTAGGGAACCGCCAGAGTACATTTCTTGGGTCTGCGACTGATTCCTTGAGACTCGCAGACTTTCAGGATGTTTAGTGCCATTGCAGATCATGACTTTTTTACTTTTAAGGACCCCTTAGTCATAAGCAGAGCATTTTTACCCTAAAATGTCATTTATCTGCATAAGCACCAAAAATTCCTGAAAGTCTGCAAGTGCCCAATAATCAGTCGCAGACCAACGAAATAGACTATGGATGGTCAAAAATGTCATAAATTGTAATTATCTCTATTGGCACCAACAATTCCTGAAAGTCTGTGACTGTCCAAGATTAAGTCGCAGACCAAAAAAATTGACCCTGGATGGTCCCTAGAAGTAAAAAATGTCATTATCTGCCTTGACATCAAAAATTCCTGAAAGTCTGTGAGTGCCTCAGAATCAGTCGCAGACCAAAAAAATGGATGCATAAAGGTCCCAATAAGTCATAAATATCATTTTCTGCATTGACACCAAAATTCCTGAAAGTCTGCGAGTGACTCAGAATCAGTCACAGACCAACGAAATAGACACAGGAGGGTCCTTTTGAAGTAAAAATGTCATTATCTCCATTGGCACCGAAAATTTCTGAAAGTCTGCGAGTGTTCCAGAAACATTCGCAGACCAACGAAATGGACTCTGGATGGTCCTAAAAATTCACAAATGTCATTATCTGCATTAACACCAAAAATTCCTGAAAGTCTGCGATCGTCCCAGAATCAGTCGAGACCAAAGAAATAGACACTTAAGGGTCCCGTAGAAGTAAAAAATATCATTATCTGCATTGGCACTAAATATTTTAGAAAGTCTACGAGTGCCAAATAATCAGTTGCAGACCAACGAAATTTATACTTTATTTAAGAATGCCCTGCTAGTTTGCCTAGACAGCTCAGCATTCCGGCAGAACATTTTTACACTAATTTTCAGAATGCTTTGCTGGATTGCCTAGCCAGCTGAGCATTTTTAACACTATATTTAGGAATGCCCTGCTAGATTGCTTAGCTAGCTGAGCATACCAGCAGAGCATTTTTCGCACTATATTTTGGAACGCTCTGCTAGATTGCTTAGCCAGCTGAGCTTGCCAGCAGAGCATTATTACACTATATTTAGGAATGCTCTGCTGAATTGCCTAGCCAGCTGAGCATTTTTAACGCTATATTTAGGAATGCCATTCTAGATTGCCTAGCCAGCTGAGAAATTCAGCAGAGTATTTTACACTATATTTTGGAATGTCCCGCTAGATTGCCTAGCCAGCTGAGCATAACAGCTAAGCATTCTTACACTATATTTAGGAATGCCCTGCTAGATTGCCTAGCCAGCTGAGCATACCAGCAGATCATGTTTACACTATATTTTGGAATGCCCCGCTAGATTGCTTACCAAGCTGAGCATAACAGCAGAGCATTTTACACTATATTTTGGAATGTCCCGATAGATTGTTAGCCTGCTGAGCATAACAGCAGAGCATTTTTACACTATATTTTGGAATGCCCCGCTAGATTGCTTAGCCAGCTGAGCATAACAGAAGAGCATTTTTACACTGTATTTTGGAATGCCCCGCTAGATTGCTTAGCCAGCTGAGCATAACAGCAGAGCATTTTTAAACTATATTTTGGAATGCCCCGCTAGATTGCCTAGCCAGCTGAGTATAACAGCAGAATATTTTTTACACTATATTTAGGAATGCCCTGCTAGATTGCCTAGCCAGCTGAGCATACCAGCAGAGCATTTTTACACTATATTTAGTAATGGCCTGCTAGATTGCTTACCCAGCTGAGCATACCAGCAAAGCATTTCTACACTTTATTTTGGAATGCTCTGCTAGATTGCTTACCCAGCTGAGCGTAACAGCAGATCATTGATTTCCCTATATAAATCATAATGCCTTTTTGCTTAGCTCACTGTTAACTGCTAACTTCTCACATACGAAAAATTGTTGATTTTCTATGTCTATTGTTTACATAACAAGCATAAAAAAACTTTAAATACTAGTGATTCTTCGAAAGTTAATGGACAGAAAAGAGACAGTACAACTTTTGCAGAGCGACCCTAAAACTTTTAAGGCTCAACAAAGATTGCACTGTTATTCTTAATGAGATAATATATGGAATTTCACAAAACCCGATGATATCATATCACCTGATGTAATTTTAGATTAGAAGTTCTCAAAACAAATTTTCATAATTTTATACACGTACGAACATATATTTTAACATGTGAAATTGGGGAAAATATTCCAATAGAAATTATTACCATGATTTGTCTGCTGAAGTTGCTCTGCTATTTCTTTATCCGACTCTGAAATATGCATGTCATTAAACATCAAATAATTATTATGTTCAACTTTTATTATACGCGTACAACAGTACTTAGTGCATTTCTATAAGCAAATGATATAATGTCACAAGGACAATAAGACATGTTGTATTTGTTTTCATATTATCTATAGAAACACAAAAAAGCGTATTTGTTTTTACTTTTTCATATAACTTTTTCTTTTCGAGCAAATCCCCTCTATAGTCTTCCGTATCTATGATAATACAAATGGAGATACACCAAAGAGCAACAACTAACAAAGGCCAATGCAATCAATGTTCCTAAACTCTCTTATTGGTGTACTCTACAAATTAGTGTTTGCATCCTGCTATTGTTTATATTTTCTCAAATTTAATGTCGATTCTTACTTATAGAACACACTAAAAAAACTGATTTGCAAAATGATCTGTGTATATGAACGCACTGACTGACCTTTGTAACCGTTAACGCCCCCTAGACTGTAAAGTGACACAGCACCCCCTCTCTGGCCGCCACACATCTCACCCGGTGACCCTGGGCACGAGGTATCACATTCACGTGCATTCATTGGTAACAGATCACGCATGTCCTCAATACAGAAACACATATATCCCTAAAACATAAATACGATGTACATAAATACAACAATGAAAGACGAAATGTAAGATCAAAAACATCATGGCATATAACTGAATTTGATTGGCTTATCGATATGGATATGTTTTTTGAATAACAACCTCTGATCAGAAATATCTATTTTGATCTTCAGCAAAATATTGTTTTCAAATTTCAAATATATTTAAACATAAGTGTTTTGTTATGCATTTGTCTTCATAAATGTTCTACAACATCATGTCACCTATATTAACATTAATATATTTATTTTCAAATTACCTTAAAGTAGAGTTAGTTTATTCTTAACCTGATGGCGGCAACTTAACCTACCGATGCAACCAGTGCAGACGAAGAGCAGCCGACAAATATGTGCTTGCATTGTTCGCTATCAACTTAGAAGATGGTTTTGTCAAGGTTAAAAGACGGACAAGTCTATTTGAGAAATTAAGCACGGTTAAAAATAATTATATGTAAATGAAATAAAGTAGTTCGGCGGTTTATTTCTTTACAAACCTTTAAAGCAGCGTAAGCACTATCTTTACACAGTGTGGCACATTCCGATGCCTTGTTTAGACGAAGCCGGTTACCATCTTTCTTTGTGAGGAAAGAAGCCGAAAAACATCCTTTAATAAAAATAGAAATATAGGTAACAACATGTCCGAATTATCATTATCCTCTAAAGGAAAATTAGCAACCAGTCATAGCAAATGCTTTGGTATGTAAAACATATACAACTGACAGATTTAATGAAATTCCAAACAATCAAAACAATGAAAGCCAAAGTGCATCTTAATAAAATTGTATAAATAACATTTTTTTACAAAACAACGTTTAAGTCAAAATATTAAAGTTAAATATTAAGTTTTTACATTATTTCATAGCGATATAACGTGCTGTTAAAAATAAAACTGTACTTGCTTGAAATATCGAACCAGAAGTTGCAATTTTTAAAATTAAAAGTAACATGTTTCCTCTTGCAAGAAACAAGTTACGTGTTATTTTATTCGACCTAATTTTGAAATTTAAAGTTTTACAAATCGTAATATATCTATAATTTCGAACCTTCAACCCACACCCATGGTGAATGTTGCCTATATGCTGCAGTCCATATTTCAGTATCTAGCATAATTTTGTTTTGGAACTCAATCACTCTTGAATGTGTATCAAGGACGAGTAGGGATCCGTCACGTGACCGGCAATCTGCATCCGCATCCGGCCATGATTTCTTGTCCGTCAGATGCTTGTACTTTATTTGACCTTTATCAGCAACTGTAATACAACGTGTTTTTAAATACAGTATTTTTTGGTGTTTAAAATGGTTATTATTTTCACATTATTTTATGTACAGTTATGACATCTAAAGAGTTTATCCATATTTTTATGTCGTGAAAATGTATGATTATCTTTGTACGAATGATTTTTTTTACATAATAAGTACTTTAAAAAAGGCAATGTCGCATACTTATAAACAGTACCAATATTGATATAATATTACAAATAGCATATGTTATAGGCATTTTTTTCTCAATTCGTATGGATTTTAGAAATTTAGATCTATGTCCATATACAACTATATATATTAATGATAACGGCATAAGTTATAAGGAATAAGTCATGCTTTTAGCTTGAAATGTTCCGACATTCCATAAAATAATTTGTAATATCGAGGTTCAGGGTACATCTTTCAATGACCACAGCAGTCCATACTCATGTCGTCACAAATACTAGTATATGGCATTTTTTAAAGTTTATTATCCATTTTTTCACCCTGGGGAAACTTCTTTCCATAAACTACTTTAATTACTGTTGGAGATTCAATATCTAAAATATTGTATTTGTTACAAAATCTTAATGAAGAAGAGAGGCTATGCACCTGAATAAAATTATGATTTGTTCATATGTACTTATTAATTAACTTGAGAACGCAGATTGATACTGTTCCGGTATCTAGTTTTTAAAGGAATTCTAAATAAATGAATACTAAAAAACAACAAAACAACAACAGCAACAAGAAAAAAACCTGCTCGTATTACCTGTTGCAGAAACTAAGGCGGCTACTACAAGAAACACATATATTCGTATTAACTCCATTTCAAACGTAGAATTATGTAAAATTCTTAATGTCACGATGTAATTAATTTAATCCTTTCTCTTTTAATTAATTAATTATTTAACTAATTATTTAAGATGATAAAATCCATGAAGAAGATGGCGATCTCTTACAACGAGCACGTGCATTTAGTGTCTAATTAGTAAATTATCAATAAGTTTTACGCTAGATACAAATCGTTCCTTAATTAAATGGCCTCGGGTAAAAAATTAATTTCATAAAGAAATGTTCAACTATTGGACGTTTGCATGTTTGTTGTGTATCCAGCGGCGAGAAGTTTGACAGATTGTAACTAAACTTCCGTAATATAACGGAAAAACACAAAAACATAGATTTATAGTCAAGGCTGAATCATTTCAATAAGTATAGTTAAGTATCGATGTAAACTTCAAAGATGATGCAGTATTTGTAATTTATTCTTTTAATTGAATTTATTTTGAATTTTGACTCACAACATATACAAAGTATTTCTTTATGATGTTGCGCTTAGCCACTGCAAAATAATGTCGAGTTACACACGAGTATATTTGTTTCCGGGGATAAAAATTTTCATTGTTTTTAAAAATATTTAATTTGAGTTTTGAGATAAATTTTTCTGAGATAAAATAGATAATTCAATATGTATCTTAATTAATTTCTGACATAGTTTTAGTTTTATTTCGAACACTAAGCTATGTCTTTATACAAAAATGGGCGGGTTTGTGACTTTGTGGTACTTATTAAATACAGAATCAGAAAAAAACACATTTTTTTCAAAGGGAAATAAATCGGACAAATAAATTGCAAAATGAAAGAGAAGTTACCGGTATTTGTTTAGTATTTTGACGTATTTATAGTTTTTACAGCGACTTACTCGGTATTACAAAGCAGTAAAAAGAAAAATGATAATAATTTTCTGTTAATTTGCATTTGTAAGTTTTCAATGTTCCTTTTTATATACAACTTCAGTTTTATCTGATAAAATATTTAAGTGAAACGATTTGAGAAATTCATCAGCTCTAATTCATAAGAATTAAGACGGTGAATTAAGAATATGTGTACGTGCAAGTTTTGGGTTACCTTTAATTACTTTTGTTATATATACAAATATCTCGATAACTCTAAAACTTACTAATAATTTTAAAAATTCTGACAGATTATATACCAAGCATAAACTGGTTGGAGCTAATACAATCTGTGCTATGCAATGTTGCAAACAACATTTTGTATACGCCCTCTAAATCAGTCAAAAGTCTTTATAAAGAATATATAATAAAACATGATTGGTTTCTTTTGGATATATCTTTTTTATTTTTAAATAGTTTTTAATCTATTAATTAACATCAGCCTTAGTGTATAAATAATATACTCACACTAATAAACGTTATGATTGACCAATAAAAATCAATGTTACAAAAGGGCAGTATTATACAAGTATTACTGAACGTTTGTAACGATAATCGGGACGTTTATAAATATATTCTACATACACGGTTACTTATTCGGTTAGAAGAATGACTTTTACTGTATTATAGATTGTTGGAAGGTTATATGTACGTATTACACAGTTATTTGCAACATAACCCTTGGCGGGCGGCTCGGATTATATAACCTAAAAACCGTTTATATTAGAACATTTAACCTGTCAAATATCTTTATGGCTAATGATATTACTTGAGTATCATTGTCCATTCTTTTATCAAACAAAATATTCTTATTTTTCAAAGAACAGCAGTGAATGTATAACCTTCACCTGGCATACCCATGTTTAATTTTTTCAGAACCGGAAAATGATCGAACTGTTCACTGGAAGAAACTGTACAGGAAATTCACTATATGTGGTGATACATGTATTTTCCGGTGGTTTACTTGTGCCTCTTAAATAACATACTGTGCATCTCATATTGCATGCAAACCGCAATGATTCAAGTGCAAATTTAGTGAACTTAACACTAAATATATCTTTTGTAGGTTTTTAAAACTTGTCGGCACTAGTAAGGTCATATAGTGACTTCCTGTTTACTAAACTGTTTATTGGAAGACTTTATATGTCAACTGAACATTTTCTCAAGCTCTAACGACCACCTGTGTAGAACCACCGATAACTAGATAGCATAGCTCTTTACTGGAAATAGCCCTGACGGGATTTAAACTTGTAACAATAACGACGCACCAATTCGTTGTTCACTTGGACACGGAAGCCCTTATATATATTTTTTGTTGTAGTAGATAAATAACAAAATATAATTTTTCGTGTGCAAAGAGGTCCAATTTAGCACATGTTTGGTGGTAATTCTCTGTGTACACTTTATTGTATGGATTACTCTTAACTTATTTACAATACCTATGTCATATATAACATTTTACAAAATATCAGGAAATATTGTATGTTTTCATCATGCCGCGCACAAAATAAAAAGACCTACGTGCCTTTCGCGAAGATGCAACTGATTTCATATTTTGCCATATTCATGATTGTTTTGTGAGTTTTTCTTAGACGGTTTTGCAAGACGGAATCGATTTGTAATTTCTTGTGCGCATGCTACATACACTCAAAGTTCAGAATCTCAATCAGGTATGATTTAAGATATTAAGACATATAATATGTTTTAACATGTCCTTTCTTGACATTCAAATGTCAAATGCCACTGTGGGGTTACCTGACTAGGAACATCATCCGGCAATAATAGGGCAATCCTCCGGCAAGAGTAATGTCATCTTCCGGCAAGAATAATGGATCTTTTTTTAAGATGGGAATGGTTTAACTTAAATGCCTATATTGAGAAGTGCTTCATCAGTGTACATAAAGTATATAATTATGTTGATAAACTTAGCATATACAGGGTTAACATTTATAAACACTTTTTGAATACAATAACAACACAATTTGGCAAGAAATATGTTTTATTATTAAAAGTTAATCGGTATACACAACAACTTGTGAGACCTTGTTTTGGGTACATATATTATAATGTGAAATTGCACCAATCCAGTTCACTATACAGATACTGCCTTATGACACATCTTAACCGGAACGAAAATACAGCAGTTTATATTGATATCATTTTTGTAAAAAGAAATTTTTCGGTATTTCTGAAAGACAAAAATATTTATTAAGATAAAGACATGTGTTGTTTTGTCTTTTTTGCTTGAATATATTTTGTATTATTTTATTTATGGTATTCAAAGTATAAAGATTTAAAACATATTTCACAAGGCCAAATAATATCCGTTGTAGAAATAACGTTAGAATTTTTCCTTACAGCTTCAAAAATTTTAATGAAACAAAAAAAATATATAAACATCATGATAAATTTCAGATTTAGAGCTAAATTTCAAAATAAAATTAAGTTATTTCATTATAAGCCTTTTATAAATATAAGAAATCAATGCTTTGTAGAAATTTCACCCAAACACTTAAATCAACATGTACGGCGTTTATTAAAAATAGCCCAAAGTCACTTTCACATTTTATTATTGTTTTTATACAAGTTGAACAGAAGATTTTATACGAGTGACAGCCAGTCAGTCTGGCTTATAGGTTTATTGTTTTGTACAAATGTATCTTGTGGTTAAAAGAACATACAAATTACTCAAGGTTACCCTTTTAAATTGAAAATAAGTTATTATAGTAACTAGCCACTTTATGGCTTCATTTACATACGCCATTGTTGTCAATGTCGTAAAATTTTTATACTAAAAGGAAACAGTTTTAATCTCAAATAAATATTTGTGTCATAAAGTAAATATTTTACAGAGTAAAATAATTAAACTTTTCAATTCTGATTCCGATATAAGATTTAAATAATATCTGAAAATAATAAGATATTCTTTTATCGGATAGAAAAAAAGTGTAAAAGATATTGCAAAAAGATAAAACGAATGATGTGAATAACAATATTAAAAGTCACAAAATACAATAAAGTTTACTATTTCTACTGACCTGTCAGTTAAAAAACATCTAATTCATCAAACATTAATCAGTAATATACAATTTAGTCAAGAATTTCATTAAGTCTTTTCATGTTACTAATTGTATTTTTTAACAAGTATACATGTACATTGCTTGCTTACTATTTGGAGTAGGGACAAAAAATTATTTTTGATAATGAAGAGAAAATTTGGTGATATAAATTGACGAGATAAATATATGAGATAAATTTGAGAGATAATGAGAAAATGTCAATGCTTTATATGATAGAAACACTCATTTGATCAGCTAAAACTGGCTGGTTTGAATTTAAAAATAAAACATTAAAACATAGCGTTCCATGAAACGAAATTTCAAAACTTGAATAAGTGTTAATTTTAAAAAGCGCGCCAAACTTTAATAAATGTTGTAAGTATAAACTTCCGCCAGCTTCAAAAGCCTAATAAAGATAGGTTAAAATGCGTGAGAGATCATAAATTTATTTCATGATTGGTCCTAAGAGATGGTCTTTTAGAAAATTGAGCTGCGTCTCGACAAAACCAACATAATGGGTTTGCGACCAGCATGGATCCAGACCAGCCTGCGCATTCGCGCAGTCTGATCAGGATCCATGCTGTTCGCTTACCAACCCTATAACAAGTAAAGAAACTGATAGCGAATAGCATGGATCCTGATCAGACTGCGCGGATGGGCAGGCTGGTCTGGATCCATGCTGGTCGCAAACCCATTATGTTGGTTTTGTCATGACACGGCTCAAATATATTTTAGTGCAAATGTGAACTGAAATAGGTAACAAAAAACAAAAGTTCATCAAAATTTAACACAGTTTCTTTAACAAGTTGTATACTTAATATGTAAGTATTTACAAAATGTTTTATTATACAATTTCATTTGGACATTGTCATAGCTAAACAAAATCGTCCATGCATTATATCATCATTTATTACATTATACGATAAGAAATAAAATATATGCTACATAATTAAAAAAATCTCACTGTTCTGTTACACAGATATACAGGTCAAGGTCGGTCAAAACAAATATGATGGTCAAGGTCAAGGGACTATATTTATTGCGATTTAAAGTCATGTATTCCTTATCAAAATGTCTGTCACTACTTTAAAACGGAAATATAAAAATCAACACTTCTGTTACTGATTCTTCTTAAAACTTAACAGATTGTGTGCGGAATTTTACGGATTTCTTTAACCATAAATTAATAAGAAATAGAATTCTTGGATTCAAAAAGCGAATGTAAAAGCAACAAATAATAAATAGCTTCACGATCACAGACATTCAAGGGAAACAACTATGTCGTGCTTATCTTCTGTACATTTAAGTCCCTTTACTCATTCAACACTTGGTGCTCATATTTACATATATTATAACTAATGCAACATAATTACAAAATATATACATCATAATTTAACTGGATTTCATAGATCAATTAACAAAGACGTAAACATGTCTCTCAATGGATTTTATATTGAAGACAGTTGCATACAGAATTGAAAAATTAAAAAATAATGTTAATTTAATAAATCGTCAAAATTTCGTGGACTGACTACCTTTAAAAGAACTGTTTCGTGTTCGAAATATAAATCAAATGGTCTTCTTGAACAATACTTAATTAAATGTCTAACGTTCATAATGATACAATAGTTATTAAGTGTTTTCCCTCCTTATGCAACTGTCTTTTTAATATTAATGTCTCCACTGCAAGACATAAACCGAAGCAGAAAAAAAAATGACAAAAACCAACAAGCTAAGATCTGTACATGTTTTGGTCGATGGCATGCGTTAACACCGAGAAACAAAATGTGGAAAATGTTTATGTTAAATGCATAATCTAAATATAGATCTTTATAACAACAACTTTATTACGTCAGTAAATGAGTTTTTCGTGTAACAACAGATATCAACACTAAAAAATTTGAATTTGAAGAATTAACTTTATTTTAGAGCTAATGCACAAAGAGAGTGTCAGGACTTAGTATTTTTGTACCTATTTTGTAGAGAATTTTGGCATACCAATGCATACCATTTGGTACATTCGTTGAATTTCGACTTTCAACGTTTTGTGAAGAAAACATCGCGAAAACTTGTGATATGTCATGGTACACCCGCATTGGCGCATATACAGCATGCGCGATATCAATATTGTCTATATATGCATAACAAGATGCTATGATATCGTCAACAACAATAGTGCCGTGCTTCGTAAGAGGGGCGTATATCCCTTTCCGAGTTTGCACGGCGATTTTTGTTATAACTGTTGTAATTATCGAGTCTTTGTCTCTTAGCAACAAATATTGCCCCGCAGTCACACTATCAGCGAAAACAGCTTCAATTCTATTAACATCAAATGAGGAGTTTTGGTTTACGACATACAATAAATGTTTTGCGGTTAGCGTTATTTCTTTCCCAGACGCCGTGGACAGTGTGTAGAATAATCCATAGCCAAAATCATCACGGTCCATAAAATTAATAACTTCACTGTATTCTAAAACACCATCACTGCGCATGCCCAGCACGCGATCTCCAATGCGCAAGTCTGACATAGGAATAGATTCGCCATTTTCTATCTGAACGGAACTCTTTCCAGTGAAACATCCTCCAGTTCTGACTGCTGCTGAGGAATCTAGATTAATGAGAAAGGAAAGGAATTAAATATATATTCTTATATTCTTCTTAAAAATATTTTAACAAAAGCTGTGGCCTAATTTCAATGATACAGATAACATTTTTTGTTTCAAATTTCTGAAAGTACTTCTCGAAATTGTATCAAATTTATGTAAAAAAGGTAAAATTAAAAACTCCACATGATGCCATAGATCTTTCGTACTTATATAGCATTAACTCTACTGACTTGTAGAAGAAATATCATGTAATAAGATTTAACTGTTTCATTTCTAAATATTTGATAGCAGCTTAGGTAAGTCTCACTCGTAAGTAATATGATCTAAGCCCATCTCATAAAATGTCTAGAAAATCTCAGTGTATCTTAACTGAACATCAATTTTATGCTGAATTGATGATTTCTCATGCATATGGTATTAAAGGAATAGAAAGTACTTAAATCAAGAACAAATATCGCACGTTTTTATCTTCCATTCAGCACGGGACAAAACTACAATAAACCTGTAAGCGTATAAAGTTTGACCCGGTATTTCATAGCATGATAGTCTATTTTTCTATTAAGCATGCATTAACACCTAAGTGCCTTGCCTACGATCTGACCGCGTAGTACAATAGATAAATCCACATAAAAATTGCCTTTTAAAACTAACATTTATATTAGTTAAAAGAGAGAAGAGTTTAAAAACCTCATTAAATCGACGAATCGAAAAGAGCGCGTGACTGAAACCGAAGAACAAGGATTACACTGTGGAAATTGTAAATAAAAAAGGGAAAATGAAGACAGAGAAAAGACGGTCTTGGTGTAGAAGGTCAACAGTTCTGTTTCATTAAATCCCTGATTTCAAATATTTAATACTTGATGGAGAGCTAAAATTGAACTTATTGTGGTTTATTAGTACACATACCATCCTTTATATGCTTTTGAAAATTCCAAAAGACTTGAAAAAATTAAATAAACAGTTTATTATAGATAACAGTGATATGTATACTTTGTAATAAATCTTTCTATGAGAAAAATACACATATTTACCGAAGTCAAATACCCTTATACGTAAATTAAATATTGAAATGTAATATGATAAAAAAATGACTTTGAATGAAATGCGTAGAAAATAAGAAAGAGAAAGTTTCAAGTCACTGATTGTTACTCATAATATCATATTCGAATCGTCTTTTCCGAACGTAAATATAAATGCTTAGAAATTTTGATTAATTTTTGAAAACATTACGATGCATCCATATGTAGCACTCTAAACATGCATAATTATTAACGTTTCATTTTTTTTATCAAACTCAATTATAACATTTTTTGTTTTCTTTATGTCTGGTTTATCATAGAAAGACCTCCCAAAATTAAAAAGCAAAACTTCATTTGTTTTAGAAAATGATTATTTCATGATAGCAACTAATTTGTTAATGGTAAATATTTATTCAAATATGTTTTCTTAGGCAAGCCCTACCATTTGCTTTACAATGAGATAACGTGAAATAAGGCATCTTTTACAACATATAATGTGCCGTTAAAGAGAAGATAATGAAACCAACGCGGCATATATTTTAATTTTCCTTTGTTTCCATTTAAACTATTCAAACTATTTTATAAATAATTGATCATAATTTTATAATAATTTTGATAAGATTTAGATATACTCAGTCAACTGAAAAAGTGTATAGTCTTTTTTCCGATTAAACAGAACATCATAAATTTAATTCTTTATGTTCTCTTTTATCCTATAAAATTATTTATTGTTTAAAAAACTTTCATCTATTATAGTTTTGTTTGAACCTCTTTAATAGATATATTTCTTTCGTTACACATGTACTTTTGAAAATTAAAATAAATGGTGCAATATCGGCAAGCCTCGCCCCTTTCTAGCCCATATCAGCCTCGTCTGATAAAAGGGCAATCAAAAGACAGTATCATGTTATTCTCTATTTATTATTTAATGATGGTATATATAATGGTACTGACCTGATTTTACCGAGCAATGGATATGGCCATGTGACTCGTACTCTACCCAATCAAACCCTGCCTGCACCGCCAGGCCTGCCAGCATACCTAACTTCGACCTGCCATAAAAACAAAACCATTACAATTCATAACATTTATATAATTAGTTCAATGAAAACAATCGCTTTTCTTTAGCTTTCAACGTTTTGTTTTCTTCAGGAAAAATTGACGTTTATAAAATAATTAATTCATAACATTTAAACGCAAACAATTTATAAAACTCATTTTAAATTTTGTAGACGTTTATTTTTTAATTTTAATTTTGGTTCTTCACCAAACATTTTTCGGGTATATACATCAATTACATTGTGATTCACGCCTAATATCGCCGTATATTTCATCGAGCGGTTTCATGTCTTTGATTTATAGTTCATAACTACCTGATAAAAATGATAAAGTTTGACTTCTATCTGAAATTTGTTTTAAGGAATAAATTACTCAGACAGATATAAAAATCCTTGAACAGTAAACACTGGGTTTCAAAGTTATGAACAACTGAACGTTTTATTAACATAATTTTTACAATATCAAATTTTGTATTACGATAATGAAATAAACAAACAAGCAAACAAATAAATATTTGAAAGAAAAACAACGAAGACAGAATAAAAAAGCCTTAGATATTTCCAATCATGTTAGTGTCTTGGTGTTAACGGTAATAAATCCATTATAAGGTCATTTAAATTTTGAATAAATTCCATATTTCTTTACTTAATAGAAGTATTCATTGCTGTGTGACAGGTACATTTGCCATGTACTTCATTATTTTTTCTGTTCTTCATAATCATTGATTCCAGTAATTTTAGTATTGAGGATTTAATAGCGTTTTAGACGGTGCTAGGGGGTGGGAGTTGTTGCGCTTTCCAATCACTTAAACAAATCGATTCTGTAATTTTCAACTTCTTGCTTTTGATTTCGTTGCCCTCTAATTTCAAGATTGTGTATATCAATTAGTATATTACTCTTGCAGTTATTCATTAAAATCTAATTAAATCTATTTATGCGTACCTGTCGCGGTCATTGGTAGCCACGTCAACTGCGCGACCTTCATAATGAAGAGAATTTTCCCCATGCATGAAGTCGTCATCCCAGGCTTCTTTAACCTTGACCTTCACAGGAGGGACCTCTGGCGGGTTACCCGGCCATTGTAGTTGTACAAGTTTAGCTAATGTATTTAGCTTTTCTTTGCATCGCTGAAATGAAATATAACTATAATTATAATTTTGCTTTGACAAGTTAAACATTATGATTCTTCGTTTTTCAATATTTTATTATACACGTTTGTTTGCGTTTTGCAAACGTACATGATGCTGATGAAGCGTAATTTCCGAAAGTCTCGTTTATATATGAGCATAACATTTAATAGCTAACCATTATCTACTTATTAATGATGGAGTACAACAGGATATATAACACAGCATGTTTGTATTTTACTATTTGTGTCCTGCTACAGATTTAAAGTGAACAATCAAATATATGTACATACTGTTACAATAAGTTTATATTATAAGTACAAAAACAATGAGAAAGCGCAAATGTACGAAGAACGACTACAACTCCCCTACAATATCTAGTCGGAGTTTGATTGTACAAGTCTTTATCTCAAATCATCATATAGTCCATTTTTCTGCTTCTATGTTATTTTGCTCTTCTTAAAACAGATGTTTGCCATGGGGCTTTGAAATTTTAATTAACTTATTCAAAATCTCAATTCCTATCTCATACAGTTACTTGCTTCTACTCAATTTATGCCCCCCAATTATTTACAGAGGATGATAAAAAGATGGTGATATTGCTCGATAGTTGTCTCTTATCATTTTGTTAGCGAAATAAAACAGAAATATCCATATAGAATACACTGTGTTGATTGATTGATTCGTGTTTATTTAGGCTAAAACACGAATATTGTATTATTATACATATATTAGATAAAATCATTTAACAACAATGTATATTATAAAATGGCATAAAACAAATCTGAAGATAAGTACAAATGTAAGTATAAATGGATGTATTTTAAAGTCAATTGGTCTACATAAGTAATAAAAGCATTTGATAAAACCAAAATCAATGTATTGTTTGGATATTTTTCATGAAATATTTCTTGACAAAAAATATTAATACAGTTTAAAGTCGATTAGTATCGACATTAATATGATAAAAAATACTATTTTTTTATCTAGAACAATTTATTATTAGCTATATATAAATATTGTTTACACTTACCAACAACATCTACATATAATTAATGTCGTGGTCTTTAATAATTTGTGGAATTACAGACCTACCATATCGGACCAATTCATTTTAAATTGATACATTTCTGTATCTGTTAGCTATCAAAAAAGATATTTGTGCATTTTTACAGGGATGCTTTATTAGAACATGTTGGACTGGTTAACACTTTTGCAGAAACCGATGGTAACTAGTAATAATTTTATCTTAATATAAGTAAACATATATTGTATATAAGTATAAGTTTAACCTAGGATGCCACATGAAAGCTCAAAGGCTTATTTCAAATGGGGGGTTCTCGGTTAAAATAATTACAGATATCAAAATGATTATTTAATCTTGAAAGTTACAAGCTCAATAAGTGAGCAAAATAAAAATAAAACAAAGAAAACCCCCAAACAAAAAATCCTAATTAGACCAAACATTTTGGAGTTGCAAAACTATCATTGCGTTTTCTATCATTTTAAATGATACACTTAGCACATACTAAATTTTCAAAATTTATAGAAACTATTGATTTATGAGCTACTAGATATTAACCACTGTAAGCTATTAGATTGTATAGTTTGAAATATAATGTCATATCTTAAGTCCTATTTTTGAATTTTACTGAATTCTCAGATACGTTTTTTCTTTATCCTTAACCATGTATTTTTTGTATCCACCTTAAATCCAAAATTCATCATCGATGTGTGTTAATAGGCCTATAACATCATTTCATTGTCAATTATTATTAACTTATAAATCTGAAAGAGCAAAAACATATAAATATATTTAGTATATTTTTTTGTTTAAGACGTAAAATTGAAAGCCCCGTTGCTTCGTTACGAACCTCTACGGCAAGGCTTTGCAAGAGAGATCATTTTGTGAAGACTTTGATAATATTCTATATTTTGTTTTCTAATTTCTAGATAAAAGACTTAAAGTTATTTGACCTCGCACCTGGTAATTTGATTTGATTTTGATTTTACGACCACAAGCTTGTATCTACATAGATGAACTGATATTTATATTTGGGAGACAGTGACTTCCAAAAGATTTCTTGTCTTGCTGTTTGCAGGTGTAATTTTAAGGTGTAATTTTATAATTGAATTTTACCACACATAGTCCCTGCAAGTTGCACACTGAAAATGCGTTTACTGTAATTCCTATCCCATGATGTATTTGTATAAGATAAAACACATTAATACATAACATGATTACAATCAAAATTGTTTGATTACTATTTTACATACTTGTATCCATTTCTCAAAGAACGAATTCTAACATATTAAAATAGGGTTTGAGTGAATTTGTGAGCAACTTAAGGTCAAATGATCTTTAAAGAGACAAAACAAACTTCGCAACAGTGTGTTTTCAATTGTTACACAGAATTCTGTGTGATGAAATTAATTATATGAGTAAAACAGTTAATCAGTTAATGGAACATTGTAGCTTATGGGATTAAATACTCGTCTTGAGCTACACTAGGACGATGGCTCCCCACAAGATCTTAAATTTACTCTGGACTTGATATTCTTCTGAAAACGGTGCATTACCGTAGCCTTAAACGTCTGGGTATTTTAATGAAGTTCATTACTCAGATCTGTGTAAAACATGACACAGGAAAGGTATGTGTCGCCCAGGGTTTGATCGGATAATCCCTAGGTTAAGATTAGGATTATTCGAGAGTCTTAAGTGATCATTATGTTGTGAAGTGCATGTCGGATTAGCGGGATCAGTAATGCACCTTGTGATATGCAAGAGGTGGTAAATGATATTAAATTACATTTAGTTGTTAATGTAAAACAAATAAGTGTTCTTTATATATCTCACTGGCAGACAACCTTTATAAATGAAGAATTAATTATTATTAAAAAAAATTCTTTTGTTAACATAGGATGAACGGGAAATTAGACAATGTACACAACATATTTGCATTTCATGGCCATGTGTATGTCATATTTTTATATATATTTTAGTAAACCATTAATTTTAAAAATGAGACCCCTGTTACCGGCTTTGGATAGCATGTTTGGCAATCACTAATTTAGTTGAGCAAATTTAACGGCGTTTTCTTTGTCTTTTGTAGCTACTGAATTTGAATTATGCACTCTTACGTTTTTTAGAATAAGAAAAGAAGTAGGGTGTTTGTAAAGTTGTTTTTAGTTTACTCAAAATCAGGTCCCGTTTAATAAACTTGTCACAACCCAACTAGAAAACTATTTAATTCATCTATTTAGGCCATTTCCAACTACAAAGATGGATAGACACGTGTTGGCATTGACTTGTAGTGATGCGATTTTAATTGGATATTTCACAGATATTTGCGTGGAATGATGTGAAATTTAAAATCATTTATGTGAACAATATTATACAGACGCGAATAGACTGTGTTACAAAATATACTTCTTTCTGAATGATATACAGTTTGCGTAATTCTCCTGGCCAAATTAAGCGCTATATCTTAATCCTTGTTCAAAGTACTTTAACACTAATTAAATTATTTAGGCGTGTATTATAAAAACCTGTACCCTGGTATTATTGCATATAAAAGAGAAATTGATATCAGCAAACAAGGTGTAATCCAAACTAAACATGTTAAAATCCGTTACATGTAAACAGTCTAAGTTTTGTAAGTGTATAGCAAACACTTCGTAAATGCTCAAAAACGCAATAATGGTAAAATACAACATAGCAAAAATTCCAAAATAATGACAACTTTGTTTTGTGATGTTTTATGACACGAGGTTTCTCTTATCAAGCTTTGGTAAATTGTATTAAACAATTCGTGGGACAAAGACAAGGCGTGGACATTGTCAAACTGGGATACGCAGCCTTTTTTTCTTAAGGTAGCTTGCACTTGATAGAATATGTATCCACCCTTTCTTACAGGAATGCATATTGCCTGCACATATTTTTGTAGCAGGACTTATTTACATATGTATATATAATATAATTGTGTTGGAAAAAGCATTATTTTATGATTCGCACTGACAACAACTAATTCAGAAGCAATAGTTGCTTTACACCTTAGCATTTTATTTAAAAATGTCTTTTATTTCTTTTTTTTTTTGTGAAATCAGTAACACAATAGAAACGGTTATTATATACTGGCTCATGATGTCAGTACACGGTATGATGTAAGTTAATGCATTACTTCCTTACTGAAAGCGATATTTCAAATATATTAACTCTTGCCTAATTGAAATATAGTACATGAAGTATTGTAGTGGTATCAAAAAAGTCACTTTTTCATGTAAAACTGATTTTCAAGTCTCGTATTTGTGATGAACACGAGCTTTACCGGCATATATAACCCCTAACAAGGCATTTTGTGATTTCTGTTTAAGACTTTAATTAGGACATTCTCTTCAACTACGATGACAACTTTTAAAAAAAAGTATTTATTAAATTCAATAAGTCTAACACAGGCATCATTTTTGAAAGCTGTCAACTTAAGGTACTTTATATTCACACCAAATTTCGGATCTATTGTTCTAAAACTTGTGTACATCTAATTTTCATTCCTTTTTTTACAATACAACGGATATTCTACTCCGTCTTTACAGTACACTGAACATAGCAGGTCCGGTGCTCCTTGTTTTAAAACAGCACGTATTGACGACTCTCTGTAATACACAGTATTGTGTATTCAAAACTGCTTCAACAAACAAAAGTTTCGAGATGACATCGATCGAATGACGCTTTGCTTGCCCAGACTTATGAGAAATACATTCATCTTCATATTCGAACACTTACAGAGTACGGTAATAATATTTATCTAGACTGTTTGCTCATTTCTGAATTTTATCGCCTTACAAATCCGCAAAGTTGTAAACAATCGCAGCACAGCGATAACAACGTCTTTTTCGGGTTTTGTAAAATGGAGTGGTTAGATTTACTGACGCGATTTGTTTCGTGCGGAAATATGTAACACTTTTCTTTAAGTAAAGATAAATTTGAAATGATTTAATTT